AGGGGGCAGCCACCAATTCCAACAGTGAAATCCTCCAGCACTTTCAATCCAAGACTAACACAAAATGGATACACTTCAGTAATCAAACTCAGACAGATGCAAAGGACATTCAAGGTCATATGCAAGAGGTGCAGACAAATGTGGCTCTGAAATTAAATTTTATAACTTTGTTGAGCCACCTTGAAGAATGAATACTTTAGGAAGATAGGTTTCAACATCACAAAAAATCCATGTATAAGAAAAACAAGAAAATACAATAAATAAAATTTCATTTATTACAAAAAATTACTTACATCTATTCAATAACAATTCGATATATATTAATGTTATAATGAATTTAGTTTCATCCATCTATTAAATAACAATGTGATATATTAATGTTATACTGCTCTAACAATCAATTTAGTTTCATATAATAAATAACAATTAGATATATTAACGTTATACAGTGTGTTCAGTTAAGGACATACCATTGCAACACCTCTGATCTGGCCCAACATTACTCAAAGATTGCTACTGTAACTGCTGATAGCAGAATGAGTCATTAGCGCTGATAAGTGTGCACCCTTACAGTTACAGCAGCAATCTGTGAGGAATATTGGGCCTGGTCAACGGTGTTGTGAAGTATCCTCCTTGAATGAACACTCTGTATAATCTCTAACAATAACGTTCATTTTTATATTACATGAGATAAAAAGATATGGTGTATGAATCCAATTTAGGAGGATTTGGCCAGGTTACTGTCCTCTTCAAAGTTATATTCTACAAAGTTCCCTTGATGCGCAGGAAGGTCTGAGTAAGCCACACCCTTTCGAGGGTCGAAAATCGGCCAATGTGTGAAGCTTCATGTGACGTTTATCTGTGGATGTAACTGTTAACTGAAAAAAATGAATACAATGACATTAACATTTATAGAATGTTATAGTATGTCACAGGGATGGAAAAGTCCACAGGTTTCTTTGTGCATTAATTAACTTCGAGAGAGAAGGGAAGACATTACAGATGAAAAAGATATATACATACATATATATATATATAAATTACAGCTCAGGACTGATATCAAACACAGAAAACGTGAAGACTGACAACTCATGGTTTGAAAGGGCTCAAAAGTGAAGAAAAATATAGGATCTGTAAAATTCATTCTGACCAAAGTTCTGAATGAACATGCAAATCAAACTGCCAAAATGACACCCAAAAATCCCAGTACACAGCAAAATATGAGAAAAGAGACATGCTCTGTTTTCAAGCAAGATGGTTGCACACAGGGATGGAAAAGTCCACAGGTTTCTTTGTGCTTTAAATAACTTCAAGTGGCAGCGACAATGGTTAAGTGTCGGGTGTTTTAGTATGACCCAGAAACAGAAGACCATTAAGACGCAGGAGAGAACTGTATGCACACCAGGCATGCCCAAGCAATCAGTGCAAATTCATGATTACGTGCATCTTTGGCTGCAATTCTCCAGGTATAACTCAAGTTATCAAGTAATTCGCATAGTTTTTCAATTGTTTCCTTATAGCCTGTACATACACAAAAGCGTGTCATGCATCGCACCAGGATTTGGAAAGTACTCTGTGAAAAACACACGACGACTTCAACTCATTTAAAAAAAAAATTATTAGATTCAG